TTGTTGCTTCTCCTACTACAGTTCATTGGGCAGCGGTTCTTCGTATTTTGAGGTATCTTCGGGGTACAATCTTTCAGAGCCTTTTACTTCCATCCACCTCTTCCTTGGAGCTGTGTGCATACTCTGATGCTGATCATGGCAGTGATCCCACAGATCGCAAATCTGTTACTGGTTTCTGTATCTTTTTAGGTGATTCTCTTATTTCTTGGAAAAGTAAGAAACAATCCATTGTTTCTCAATCTTCAATCGAAGCAGAATATCGTGCTATGACATCTACTAACAAAGAGATTGTTTGGTTATAGGTTACTTGTAGATGTGGGAGTTTTTCTTTCTCATCCCACTCCTATGTATTGTGACAACTGGAGTTCTATTCAGATTGCTCACAACTCGGTTTTTCATAAACGAACTAAGCACATTGAGATCGATTGTCATCTTACTCGTCATCATCTCAAGCATGGCACCATTACTTTGCCCTTTGTTTCTTCTTCTTTACAGATTGCAGATTTCTTTACCAAGTCGCATTCTATTTCCCGTTTTCATTTTTTAGTTGACAAACTCTCGATACTTGTCGCTGCTGCATCATGAGTTTGAGGGGATATGTTAAGAAATATAGGGTTATTTTGTTTATTAAGGGTAGAATAGTCCTTTACTTTCCCTACCTTGTTTAGCTTATATATAGTCTCTTTGTATTTAGGTTAACTTACTTCCTTGTATTTCAATTGAATTATGCATTTCAATTGAATTATGCAGTATCAATAAAACCCTAACCTCCTCTTTTCTTATCTATTGTATTTCTTTAGATTGTTCAACAATTTCATAACATATTGTGCCATTCCTTTACATGTATGATCATGTTCACAACGCCGAACAGAATAATACACACAGACACAAGAAACTCAATTTCATTTCACAATTCACAGTTTCTTTTTCGGTATCCTCAAATCCAGACCTCTACATAACTTTATAGATAATAAAATCCACAAACTTCACTTCGTATTGAATAAACATTCACCTTGATGAAAAAATTTAATTGAATTAAAAACAGGACACACTGGCCCAACTCCAAAAACCCTAATTTGACTAAACCCCAATTTCCAGAAAACCCAGATATAGATGAAAACAGAATGCACCAAATGCAAGAACCATGCACAGAAAAGCTTCGGAAACACAAAATGCAACAAAATTCTTGATCCTCCTGAGCTAAAGGAGGACATTGTAAAGCAATAAAGAAGAAATATAAGGCTTTGAAGCTTACCCACAACACTTGATCCTTCTGAACCCATTTCTTGCTTCATTAAACGGCAAAGCTGTGCTCTTTCTAAGCTACAGAAAGAGTTTTTTGAGAAACAAAGAGAGAGAGAGAGAGAGAGAGAGAGAGAGAGAGAAGAACAGAGCTGGGACTTGGGAGTTAGGAGAGGAAGTAGTAGTTGCTGAATCCTGGTAGACCGCAGCCGGCAGCCCAACTACTTTATTATTCGCAAGTCCAACTCCAAAGCCTTATCCACCTTTTCTACAAACCGTTCGGATAAAAGTTATTTTTGCAAAAAAACAACAAAAATCTAACATAAAGAGAAAAGAAAATCGCATGTTATAGTTCATATTGATGCTTTCTTCTTTTTTTTTTTTTGTATTCCCGCTGATAACTTGTAAAAATCCACTAAAGTATTTTTTTTTGTTTTTTCTATAACTTTGGATCGTTATTATGTGCAAGTACATCATTGCATACCAACCATTAAAATTGGAAATTTTATTGATTTTTTATGATAGTTCAGGAGGATGTTCATCGGGCTCCAGATGCGGGGGAGAGTTAGAACTATTCCCTTATAAACCTACAAAGGTAAGTCAAAGATTGAAGAAATTGCAAGGGTTGATCCTACGAACAGAGAAAGCTTTTGTTTGTGTTCGATTCACTTTTATGGCCTTCACTCTTATTGGCCACATAATTAGACGGTTTGTGGATTTTACTTCGCCTACTGAAGCTGAACTAGTTACCTCATTTACTTGACTCAATCTTGTTGGCTCAGTGGAATTGGCAATTGAGTTGAACTAGTCAAAATCTTTTCGAGGTAAGATTCTGTCCAACTTCATGATTTTTGGGAGGGTTAACTATCGAGATGAAACAAATCCGAGTTGTTGAGATGGAACTAATCCGAACTACTGACTCGCCATTCTGAACACATGTTTTTATTTTTTATTTATCAATTTTGATTTACCAAAATTTTTTAGAGATTATTTATCAAAAACCAGTGAAGGATTTCTAGAGATACCATTGATGCCAAGTATTGGTTTTGATTATATGGAATCCTTTACCGCTAATTTATCAAAAACCACCCAAGAGTTCTAGAGGTTCCACCGATACCATTAATACCTAACAATATCATTTACAACCGATATAACGTTTTTTATACTATTAATAAAAGTATTTTAACATGAAAAATTTTTAAATCTCTATTTTACCCTTATAAAGAATTTTAAAGACCACTCTATACTTCGACAATTAAATATCTAAATTATCGTCATATTCTTATGTATTTAAATTTCTAAATTATCTCTAACATCTCTTTTAATTATCTATTCTCTAGGTATAAATATCAATTTCTATTAAAAAATACCTATATATGTGTATTTTATTTTTTCATTGAAAAATTTAAACATTTCATTTCTAAGATAAAAAATAATCGTATATACAGTTTTTTAAATCAATTTCTGTTACATCAATATAATTATTCAGTCACAATAAAATTTATAAGTTGTATTAAGATTTTATGTGAAAATAGATATTGTAGTATATTTTGAAGTAAATTTTTCATTTTTTAGAATTTTAATATTGTAGAATCTGAATTTTTTTTTAGAAATTTTAAGTCAAACTTGAAATTTTTAGATTTTTTAGAATAGTATATTAAATTTTATTTCAATTTACTTGACCAATTCCTAATTATAGTAAGGTGCTAATATGATTAGTATACTAATAATTATTTTTATTTTATTCAAGGAATTATAAGTGGAATACTAATAAAATGAATTAAAAAAAAATTAATTTCTCAAACATCACTGAAAAATTAATCTAAATTACAAAATTCTTAAATAAATAGAATTTTAAATATTGTTTTTAAATCTATTTTCTTTTAGTTAAAACAAAGAATTTTAGGAATATAGAAAGTTTTTATAATCTTATAATAAAATATAAGAATGAAAAATTAATTTTTTTGCAAATTTGAGATGATATTTAATTCAAATACGCGTATACTTAATATGTTTTATTAATTTTTGTATACGAAAACTATTCACGTGCAATGCACGTGATGCATTACTAGTACATAAAAAGTTCATTTAGTTGAATTCGAATCTATTTTAAGAATTCTTTTTATACTTGAATCCCTGCTGATTTTTTCTTTAGCATGTATCCCCAAGTAAATTCAATTTCATTGGGATTTTGAGGTTGACGAAATTAAACAATGCAATCTGTCTTAGAATCATTAAAAGAGGAGAATGGACTCTTTGTTGATTAGATTAGGTCCAATTAATTCTAACATATATGTGTGTTCTTCCAATTTAGAATGTGGATCGAACTTGATTTTGTGCACTTAAAATTTTTATGGGTGCATATTTATGTTTTTTTACCCGACCCATGTAACATCGATATATAATATCTTAAACCCGCCTCAAATAAATGATCGTGAGTTCGGCCCGATGTCGTGGTTGAAGAAATGTGTAGATACCCCATGCAAATCTATTATTTGAACTTCCCATTATTTAGAATATTTTTCTAATTAGCCATGCCTGCAAGGCTTACTCTTTTAAAATCTTGTATATCAAGTTCCATTTTTCATAGAGTTGAAAGATAGGTGTGACAATGGCTGGGGAGCATTATCAACCATACGTCAAGCCTACATCTACTCAAGAAAAGACTAAACAAACTTGACAATGAAATATCAGAAAGAAAATATTTTCCCCGAACCATATCTTTAAGCTTCTCAAATACAAAATTTATGTTGCAAAAAAAGACAAACTAACTAGTGGACCTTGTCCTAACAAGACAGCATTTGATGGGGGCCATCCAGTTTCATACTTTTAAAATTAACAATGCTACACATTTCATCTTCTTATATTACATTTGTGCACCATCTCAATATAGACCGTTAAATTAATAAGTTTTATAGAGTTTATTAAATATCCAATAACTCTGATTGTACCATATAAAACGTTATAAAAAAAGTGATGTAGGCAGAATTATTCTTTCAAAATAGACAACTCGATCTGGTTGTCGTGTACAACTTAATTTTGTGGTTCCCAATGGAATACATGTGCCACTTTTTTTCCCTTCCCTATTTTTGTTTGTGTGTGTGTGTGTGAGGGAGAGAGAAAAGTCGCAGACAACAATTTAACAAGGAGTGGATAACAAGAGTGTAATGGATATACATGGAATGCTTGGCCCTTTTTGCTCAATCTAATCCTATACTTGAGCTTGCAAAATTTCCCTTCAATAAAGAATATGGTATGTGCCAACAATTGTGGTTATAGATCGTAGATCATGTTTGAGATTAAGGATAAGTAGGAGAGATCAAAACTTTAACTTATTCAGAGACTATCATAAAAAGAGATGTAGTTGAAAACTCTTGTCCACGAATATAGACAAGAACATGAACCTTCACACCATATATAATTCAAATGTCGATAACCACAAATATGGGGTTGGGTTTTTTTTTTTTTTTTGGGGGGGGGGGGGGGGGTGGGGAGGGGGTTGGGTTTGTGAGCAGATCAAAATTTCATGAAGGTGCAACAACACCAATCCTCAATGAATAAACAAGCTGATTAAAACTATCTTCAAAATTTGATTTTTTCAAACTTTCTTCAAACTTGTCAGCATTGTACATAAAATTCACCTCCATTATTAGTCCTTTGATCACCTGGTTTGTGGAGATCCATGGACTAACCTATGGCTTTAAGCCATGCTATATGTACAACGAAACTTAAGAGTGTTGTTTCTCTAGCTTAGAAATCTAAGGTGAAACATCTTCTTCTTCATGCCTCGAAGATTTAATGCGATCAACTAGTATGTCTAAGGCTTCCTTCATCCACCAATGTTGACAAACTTCCCTAGCTTCAGCCACTGTCATCTGCACCAAACAATTCAACATACTAATAAGCACAAAATCGAGAGGACTTTGAGTGTGACCTGTCTCTCCACTAATTTGGATAACATTGCATACAATTAACCCCTCCTCATACTTTTTAATGACAGGAGTCTCGTTGAAGCATGCATAAACAGATAAAAATGACCGAAGACATTGATATGCAACATACCCATAATCTTTTTCTGGCATTTTTTTCTGGCCATAGATCAAGTTGTTCAGTCACAAGCATAGGAAACATGTATCCTTCATGATATATTCCAAGGCTTTTGCTCTTGAAACTCCATATACCTAATTGACACTGTAACATTACAAAGCACATGTTATATTTAGAACTGAAGTCAAGAAACCTATGGTTACAATGAATACAAATATTCAATCAGAATTAACCTAACCTCAACGTTGCCCAGAACTCCGGCTTCTTCAAGCGATTCCCGAGAAGCAGCTTCTTCGACAGATTCATCAAGCTCCCAACCTCCCTGATGATTTATAGTGTTAAAATTAGCATATATTAGTCATTGAGTAATTTAGTATAGTGTTAGACAATAACAGATGGAGATTTTCTTGGTATGAATCATTCAAATAAGGTGTCTTTCTCTCTAAAATATTATATGAACAGTTACCTTAGGAAACATCATTCCTTGGCCTTTTTGCGAACTGATCACAAGGACTTCTAATTCATCCTTTATGGCATCACCATTTCCATTTTTATATCTATAGGGAATACATCTGCAAGATTAAAAAAAAACTTTAGTGCATAGTCGTTTGAATATAGATATTGAACAACATTAAACCATCTTTAGCTATAAGCTGCAATCCAATCTCGATTAATTAAAAAAAAAGGGTATACCCCGAATTCTTCAGTGATCGATGCCCATAAACATGCAAAAATATTTATTTTTTCCCATGCAAATTCCTCATACTCAAACTTATATTTCTAAATCACAAAAGAGATCGACTTTTATTCTCTGTATAAAACAGCAAAATTACATTTGAAATTTTAATAGAATCATCAAAAGGAAAAGAAGAAATTGTATAAAAACATATATGCAAAATATTTATATACATATAAATGAAAGGGAAGAAAAAGATTTGGGCAGTGACCATTTCTTCAAAACTCTCTCTCTCCCTCTCTCTCTCTCTCTGTGAAAGCAAACAAACCCTGGTTTTCCATAAACACTAATTCATGTTTGGAATTCACTAAAAAAGGAAGAAATTCTGAAGAAACCTCAAGAATTTAAACAGAAACGTACCCTACAACAAGGCGACGACCTTTGTTGTATCTCTGCAAATGCCTTCCGGAACGAGATATCAAACACACCATCTTCATCTACCCCCTTGCAGCGAGAGAATCTAATTAAGAACAAACTTGGAGACCCAAAAACTAAGAAAAAGAGTCACCTAGTTCAATTCGATCACGCAAAGTGGCACAAAATATATGTAGTATGTGTTTTTCTGGGAATGGATAAAAAACCAAGCAAGGTTAGCGGGGCTGTTATATAGAGGAGAGAGAAGAAGTAAGGTGGGTCTTGGAGAGAGAGAGAGAATGCCAACAAACACCGTGGATGCGTAAACATAACGACTCAACAAAGCTATATATAAACGCGTCATTACTCACGTCGCCGTCCATGAACATGAAATCTCAACTGTTCGCCGTCATTATAATTCGAGTTAATAACATTTGCACCCCCAAAGAATTTTAGATTCCTTTTATTGCATCATCAATCACAAAAAAAAAAAATAATAATAATTTAGCAATGTTGTTTGTTTTAGTAAAATTGAATATGAAATTTTCATGTAAAAACAATCAAATTGGGTAATGGACAAATAATTGAGCATAAAAATATAAAGACGTCCACACCAAAAATTACCAAATAGAGCAAATTTTTTTTTGTTTTGTACTAAATTGTTATATTTTTTATCTGATTGAAAGTATAATCTAAAAATTTTAATCTCTTAGGGTATTAATTAAAAATCCGAATATCTTCCGCTGCACAAAGTCTCATTCACTCTTATAGTTAATTAGCAGTAGGATATAGAACTGAGAAGTGTGACCCCTAAAATGCAACTTACGTGGTATGCCATTTCTAGATACAAATCTGAACAAAGAAGCACCAATGACAAGAAAAAGGTGAGAGGAAGCATTTTACATGATATGCATGTGTTTTCGTAATCATAACCAGCAATTCAGACGCTGTAATCACACGTTTTGACACTCTTCATTGACCTATAAACTGTAACACCAGCAGCTAGAAGCACGTGGTTTTAGAAACTGCTACCAACCCGAGCCCAGCGGTAATAAGAATAAGCTATAAATTTAAATACCTTAAATTTAAATTTTGATAATTTTTTGGAGTCAAATCATGAGAAATTTATATCTCATAAATATTCTAATCTCAGCATAAATAATTTACCTTTCAGCGGACCGAAAAGGGAATTTCCAAACACTTCTACGTTGAACTAAAAAAACCTGCTACCAACCCCTAAAGAGGAAATAGAAAATGGGTAAAATTACACTAAGACCCCGGAGTTAAGACATTTAATACAATTGTCTTTTTATTTGTCGATTCTACTGGCTCTCATTGACATTTAATACAATTGGATAAATTAAAGATAACATTGTGAGTTAAGACAACAACACTAAAGTTTTGGCTACTTCTATTCTATCCAAAGATGATGAAGAATAAGGATATTCAATCCTGATGTCCTAAAAAGAACGAAAATTAATAATAATAATAATAATAACTCGCCCACACATTAGAAAAACAGTATTAAGTATTATAGGTGTCACAGTTTTTCCAAGAAATACCACTGGTGGATCCCATTGTTTGAACTGGTCGGACTCACGTGCAGTGGAAAGTGTGTCCCCGCCCGCCATCAAGATGTAAAATATTCTAACTCCTTGTTGTCGATGTATTGTCTGTTTTCAACTATCCAGAACATAGAAAGACTACACTGCAGACTCTTCCATTCTATTCTATGCAAATGATAATGGACTTGTTGAATTGTAGGGGTGTAAAAGTATGAGAGGATTGGTTAATATGATACGAGCATAGTATTAAGTTAGAGGACTTGTGTGTCTTTCTTTAAGTCACTTATTTTATAAATGAATAAATCTGACACCATACAATTAATAAACGAATCGCACTATAAGAAAATAAAAGTTTTTACAATAGTAAAATATTGTCACAAAAGGTCTATTTGCCGTCACAAATACTTTTTTGTAGTGACATTGTCTCGCCATAATAAGTGTGGTCTCAAAAGATATTTACGGCAACAACGATCTATTTCAAATAATATTTACGACAGCAAGACCCTATCATAAATAAGTTGTCACAAAAAATCCGTCATTTTTGCTTTTATCACTGCAACAAAAGTACTGCCTCAAATACCACATTTTTTTGTCATAAATAATAGAAGATTTATTGTGGCGGTTAATATACTGTCTCAAAAAAGTATGAAATTTTTTCTACATTAAATAAAATATATTTACGACAGCAACGATGCCGCCACAAAAGAAAACACATTTTTTTTAATTATTATAGATCATTGGTAACCAATATTATATATTCTGTGCATATATACACTTTTATCACATGAATTTAAAAGTGCACATCCATACAACCTTTTTTTTTTGAGGGAATGGGAGAAGGGGACTTGAACCCTTGACTTCAAAAAAGCAAAATTTTCATAAGGTAAATAATATCATTGAACTAAAGATTCATTGGTATCTGTACAACTACTCAATTCAATATATAGATAAATAAAAAAGTAAATATGACCAATAATTCCAAAAAACATAGCAATATTTTAATATCCAAAAAAAAAAATCTTATGAGTTAAACAAAATGTAAAATATGTGCGTTTATAAAAATATAACGATCCATGAGTATAAGAAATTAATGCAATACGTTAAACATCCTTCCCGAACCATCTATTCTCTTAGTGACATTTGGAAAAATAAAAAAATAAAATTATTGTTACTATACTGAAATGATATTTATAAACATGTATACAATAAAGAACTAAAATAAGTTAAAATATACATCAACAGAGGGTTACGCAATATTTTTTTGAACGGTTTATTCAATTATGTAAATGATATATAAACGAGTCATATCGTATACATTTCTTCTAATTGTCAATACCTGATTGGTTTATAATTGTATCATGTTAGATCCATTCGTTTACTAAACATGTGGCTTAAAAAAGACTCAAACCTATTAATTTTATGTCATACTAACAAGTTGTGTCATATTTTAACACCCCTAATTTTGGATATAAAAAATTAACTTTGTAGAGTTTAATTTTTTTTTTCTTTCAACTAGAAATTTATCTTTTGATGTAAAACTACGTAATTTTATAAAATATTACTTGTAACATGAAAAATAGTTGTGGCTAATACAAATTTTTTTTAGAGTTTTTCTTCTTTAAGCTATAAACTGTTTTTTAATCTAAAAGAATATTTTAATATTTTATGAAATATTATATACGACGGGAAAAATAGCTGTCATAAATATAAAAAATTCTTTTGAGTTTATAAAATATTATTTGCGGTAGAAAAAATAGTTGTCTCAAATACAAATTTTTTTTTTTTTTGAGTTTATGACACTATGACAAGAAAACTAGTTGCCACAAATATAAACAAAATATTAATACAAACACACATTTTATAACAGTAAATTGCCGCCACAAAAAATTATCTCAAACACGTCTTTTGTAACGGCGAACAAAACTGCCGTAAAAAATTTGTCACAAAAAACTCTTATTCGTATAGTGTCGGGTACGAGTAAAATCAATCAAAAGAAATTAAAAATACAACTTATTTATAGAATAGTTATACATGCATATATGACACAAATCTGATATGACACGATTTGTTAGACACGATTCAAGTATGAATATAGTATTTTTTTTTACACAAATCTGCTAAAATCCAACAAAATTGACAGGCCTAATGATAAACACACTCTCTCTCTCTCTCTCCAAAATATGGACCCATAATAGTATATATCAAAATATTCGATTTCATTTTGTGATTTTGTTCTACATTCTATGTAAACTATAAGTTTCACATGACTCGTCCAAATCATCTTTAAATCAACTTCACAATATGTTTTGATTCTTTGGTCATATTCCATTTTTTCTAGACTGTATTTTATACATATTGTCTAGACTAATATTTTATACATATTGTCCGGTCTCATTCTACGATTTTACGACTGGTATACCACATTATCATCCGAATTGATGACTAATATCAGGAGTTTGAACTATGCATGCTCTCTCTGAATTTTATCGGTATGGTGACCTGAAAGAGCTCGTTGCTGATTCACTAACTCGAAACTTATATAGCGTGTGGGTCATATTTCATTAAGAATGTAAGAGAGGTGGTTCAAGCCCACCTCGGTTTAAGACTTAAGAGCATCTCAAAATTGAATTCATAGACAACATTTCAGAATAGTCAAATTATGTGCTCTCCCTTTCTTCAAATTTATTCCTAACATTATGACAAAGTTTGGATGAAAAGCTTTCATGATTAATTATCTCCAAGTTGTAAGTTCAGTTTTCGCAAGAGAGTCTTAATTTACCCTATGAGCATCATTTACAAAACAATTACATGCATTCAAAATTAGCATTATAACAATATACCCGAAAAACACATGATTAGAATTGTACTTATGATTCGAAAAAACATATTATTTCTACAATAGAATGTCTATAGTGGGAATAGTCAATCTTGCAATACTATGCAATAGAATGTTCATAGTGGGAATGGTCAATCTTAAATAAATGTTGACAATACCACACAAAAATATCTAAGGATGAGCTCAGCCAATCAGGCCATGCTTCGGGAGCTCAGCTCATCATATTATTTACAGACCTCAACCCCCATGTCCATTTCATGAGAAAGGCTGTGAAAAGGATAGTTGGATCCTACCGAGTCTCCCTTTCTCTGGCTTCAATCAATGGGCGTAAGTCTCGTTATACAATAGGAGGGAATTGTTACAAATGAGGGGCGAGGATCTCGCCCCAGATCAAGCAAGGCCCATGAATAGCTATAAATAGGAGGCAAAGCCCTCGAAAGAAAGAAGGAGAAGCCGTTGTAGCCTTACAAAATATTCTTTGTAAATTTCACACAATAATCAATATATTCAGGAGCAAGAGACTCTTTTAAGAGTAGAATAGTTGAGCTCCTGAGTTGGTAAACCACTATAAACGCTCTACATAATTACCCATTGATCTCCCAAATCCTACTCCATAGAGTCTCGGATCTCAGACTAAACTAAATCAAACTGTTCAATACACCTTACACATGTCCCTCTACTCAGTCGTGTTAATAACACCATCAAATGTATTATTGAAATAAACAACTTACTTTTTGTTTATTTTTCCAACTCTTGAAATCGAAAAATAAGAAAGAACATTAATTGTTAAATGCAATAGCAAGGTCATTTTTTATTTAACGTCTCAAAGTAACACATTTTTTAGTGGCAATCAACAAGGGTATCATGATATATATTTTTCCTTTTCAGATTTCAAAGTTTGACCAATATTATTCCAGCAACCTACCCACCTTTAACTTACTTTCTCCACCATTCAGTATTACAAGAAAAATGCAAAAAAAAAAAACAAAGAAAAAGAAAAAGAAGAAGAAGATATTTACAGAATGAGCGCTGAGTGATGATATTTTTCTCATTGTCAATCGATAAAGATCGAATTTTAACGCTCACTCTTTAGTAGTTCCATCTTTGCACTTGATTAATGCATCAATTGAGTAAAGATGTTACTATCCGATTTTATTATGCAATACATATCTGAATTTCACACATGATTTAAGAATTCTATTCGTACAAGACCATTTAAGTCCACTACTTTGTCATTAATGGTGGAAGAAAAGTAGGAACAATACATTTTATATTCTCTTATAATAAAAACATTTTTTCTCTCCTTTTTGTTTGGTGGGTGAGGTCAAAGATGAAGGTGGTTGAATTTTTATTTTTTATGTTTTTATAGATGAAAAAATAAAAGGAAAGTAAAAATACATATACTTATTTTACCATTGTAGCTGATGATGCATAAAACAGTCTTATGCAAGATTAATAATCGAATGTATAATAAAGTGTAATTAATGGACAATTAATAGAGATATCAATGACAATAATTTAAAAATCGAGTCAATACACAGATATATAGTGGTTCGGTTCGGGTGACCTACTCTACTCTAAAAAACAGGAACAGTGGCATGAAGACTTTTTATTGATTAAGTAAGGTGAACAAGAGAGAGTAGTGGTTAGCCCCAAGAAGGATACAGTAACTAGGAGAGACAAAAGTTATGAGTGGGGTGTATAGAGAAGTGTCCTCTTATGTAGAGAAAGCTTATAATTTATAGGCATAGAGCCTTAGTTGAGGCGGTGACGTGAGGGTAAAGGTACTAGATCTTCGAGGAGCTACAAAAGGTAAGTATAATTAAGGTTGTCTTGATTTTTGAGAGTGAATATCCCAATAATTGCTCCTCACGTGCTCTAATCCTTCTAGACTCCTTGAACTCTAGACTAGATCGAATCCATGAATTAGGTTTGACCTACCTTGTAGTTAATTTGGGCCTAGCTCATTAATTGGGTTTGGCCCTGTTAAATTTGGGCTCGCCATTTGCCCCCGTACCCCAAGCCCTAGTAGTGATTAGGTGTTGAGGGTATGAGTGAGCTCCTTCCTTTGGGTAGAACATATATCTTGTTCCATATGGTGGTTTCCTCAACTTTCCACCCATGTCATTTTTTAAGTTTATTTCTCTATTTGGTAACTCCATTGTTGGAGAGAGGATGAAGAGAAGAATGAACATTTTGACACGTGGAGAGGGATATGCTTTGGCGAGTGGCGCCATAGGTATGAACCTAGGCAACACCAGGAAAAACATAAGACTGGGCGGTGCCATGGGCAACACCATAGAGGACTTAGACAAATTGATAACGTCTTTGGTTTAAGAAAATTCTCTTTTTCATATGTGATCTCGTGGTTAATGGATTAATGATGAAGGCTCTCTACGTCACTAGGATTGTGACTTCCCCTCCTCCTAGAAGGGGTGAGATATGATACCCCCAGTGTTTCTCAGCTGAGGTTTGACAGTCTTGTTGTTTCTCAAAAAATAGGGTTTTATGCCCCCAGCACTTCACATAATTATCCTATTTCTAGCAATGGTTTGATGTCCCTGCTGCAGGATGTGAATTTTGGCTAAGGAAAGGCTTTGGAGGTTTGTGACACCTTTGGATATCATCTCTCAGAGTCTTGAGGGTATCATTGATACCAACATAGAGGACTTTGCTATGGTATCCCGCTGTTATGTGGAACCCTCTCTTTTGTATGCTTGGTCATACTAACACTTTGGCTTCAAAAATTTGCAGATGGCTGCGTTTTTTTCGTACTTTTGAGGACGCTCAAACTCAACGTGGTGTCGAGAGCTTTGGTGGAAGAGAGACCTGGAGACCATGCTGCAGTTGTGGTTGGCTCATGAGAGAACAATAGCTCTCGAGGTCGAGCTTCTAGAGAATGAGGCTATTTGCGTATAAGCACAAGCTGAGTTAGGCCGAGCTTGTAACGACTCTTGTGAGAGCTACTAAGCTAGAGACATGGGTTGCCTGCTTAAGAGTAAAGTAGAGATAGGCTAAGCTTTTGGAGACTCTCGTGAGAGCCATTAAGATGAAAATATAAGTTGTTTGTTTGAAAGCAGAGTAGAGATAGACCAAACTTTTAGCGACTTGCAAGAGAGCCACTAAGCTGGAGATATAGACTGTCTGCTTGAGAGAGAAGCAAATATTGACTAAGCTTTTGGCGACTCTTGTGAGAGCCGCTAAACAAGAGGTATAGGTTACCTGCTTGAGAGCAGAGCATGGATAGACCAAATTTTTGGCGAGTCACAAGAGAGCCGCTAAGCTGGAGATATTGTCTATCTGTATGAGAGCAGAATAGAGATTGGTCAAGCTTTTAGCAACTCTCGTAAGAGCCACTACACTAGAGATATAGATTGCCTGCGTGAGAGCATAGCAAAGATAGGCCAAGTTTTTGACTACACTCGTGAGAACCCCTAAACTTGAGATATAGGCTGCCTACTTGAGAACAGAGCAAAGATAGACCAAGCTTTTGGCGACTCTCGTGAGAGCTGCTAAGCTGGAGATATAGGCTTTGTACGTGAGAACAGAGCAGTGATAGGCCAAATTTTTGGTGACTCTTGTGAGAGCCACTAAGCTGGAGCTATAGGTTGTCTGCTTGAAAGCAAAGTAAAGATAGGCCAAGCTTTGGTAGAGATAGACTAAGTTTTCTAACAATTCTCGTGAGAGCTACTAAGTTGTAGATTGAGATGCGAGTGCCACTAGGCAAGGATGAAGAAGGGCGCTAGGCACGACCACTAAGGGGCGTTGGTTGTCGCTGGACACGGACACCGAGAGGCGTTGGGCACGAACACCGAGGGGTGCTTGCCGCCGCTGAACATCGACACCAAGGGGCACTAGACGTCGCTGGGCATGGACGTCGAGGAGTGCTGGACGCCACTGGGAATGGACATCTATGAATGATGGGTACAGGTGCAGTGACACCAAAGATGTGGGTGACAAGAAGAGACATTGTGGGCCAACTGGGCTACAACACGGCTGGAGGTAGAGGGCGACTCCACTGGCAGTGGCTGGGCGACACCACTAGGTAGTGACCATAGGGTGACGTAAGTTAGGGCACTGGTGTTGGCTCTAGCGTTAGCTAGTGCTAAGCGTTTAGCACTGGTGTGCACGCTGAGGATTGTGGGTGATGCCTTGGAGATGAGTTGTCTGGGCAACGCTTGCAACATGTGGTCTAAGCGACACCTTAGAGCAAAGTGGTTTGGGCGATGGCTTAGAGCAAAATGGTCTAGGCAACGCTTGCAGTAGGTGGTCTAGGCAACGCCACTTCATAGGCAGGTGTGTTGGCGCTGGTGCTGGGTGCTAGGGCATTGGTTGGCACAAGCGCCTAAGCACTAGGGCACTGGGTACAGACGTCGAGGGGAACCCTCCCTTTACCTGGTTGACTATAAGTTGTGAGTCACTGTAGGCTATTAGGCAGAGGGCCTTCATCTCCAATGCCAGCTCCAAGATTGATTTAAGAGCCTCATATTCAATTTGATTGTTGGATGTTGCAAAGTGGAAGAAGATATCGTACTTGAGTGGAGTGCCATAAGGGCTAATCAGCACTAGTCCTACGCCATCGTTCTCGTTAGTGGAGGACCCATCTACGTATAGTCTCCAACATAGTACAGTAAATGATAGCAAGGGCGCGGAGGGCTCCCATGGAGTAGGCACAAGGAGTTGGGCACTTCAAGTCTCAGAGTGTGGTCTCCCGAGGCCTATGGAGCTGTCTCCGAGATGTCGAGCTTTCTCGAGATAGTGTTTGGGCTTGCCTTATGGTGAGTGGAGGCATTATGAGCAGGTGAGCATAGGGGCGCGTGATACTTCCTCCCGGGATTTTTGTGGTGGTGTAAACTCCTAAAACTCCCGTGATAGTGTAGACTCTCGGGACACCCATAGCGGTGTAAACTCCCAGGACTCTCGTGGCGGTGTAGACTCCCAAAAATTCCCGTGGCGGTATTGACTCCCGAGACTTCCAGTGGTAGTGTAGACTCCAGAGACTCCTGTGGCGATATAGACTCAAGTGGTAATGTAGACTTCTGGGCGAGAGGTGCCTTGGTGCTGCCCGAGGGTGTTCTAGCACGGGGCCCCATGATGAGGGGCGACTTGACACCTAAAGTGGAGAGGTTGTAGTGCTTCTCTCGTCGGAGGGAGTGGTAATCTTCCTATAGGCTAAGGGGCGACGCCTCCCAAGGTGAGCAACAATTGCATGATTTGCTGGTTCTGATTTATCGGCAGCTACATGGTCTGTAAAAGTTGTTGTTCGACCACGGGAGTCATCGTAGTGTATGGTTCCGCGGGTGCGAGCAGAGGCAGAGCCTCCTCCTAGCGGGCTGGGTTGTTGTCCCCTGGTTGTTAACTCATCAACCTAGTCGCGATCGCCATGTATTTGAAAGAGAGTAGCAAGGTAGTAGAAAACTTAATCGCTTCTCACAGAAGCACCAAACTGATGATGCATAAAATAGTCTTATACAAGATCAACAGTCAAGTATGTGATAAAGTGTAATTAATTGACAATTAATAAAGCAATCAATGTCAATAATGTAAATATCAGGTCAACACACAGATATATAGTAGTTCGGTCCAAATGACCTACTTCACTCCGGGTGACTTTTCTTTCATAACCAAACACAATATTTTATCCATCTGTTTCACTTTTCATCATCCCACCTTTTTATTATTCTATTTTTCAATCATACTATACGAACCATAATTCTTGACATGTTATTTTTTCATGTACATCGATACATATAGAAGCGGGTAATCTGCTTGTTAATTAGAATAAAATTCAAGTCTTCGACTTGGGAGGGACCGCCATCTTGATAATTTCTACCACACAACTCAAAGTTGTAATCTCTTATTGAAGTTCAAAAGTCATAGCATGTTGGTAGAAATTTAGGACCTAGAATCCACGGAACTCATGTACAATGGAAGCAGAGTACCCAAATACAAATGACTATCGTACCCAAATACAAATGACTATAGGCCAAAGAGTCACGAATCGATGTAAAATGTTGTTGTCTTTTTAAATTTAATGTCATGCATTATCTCCCATCCAAACATTGAATTGGTATTAAATTAATGGTTTCATATCTAATCCAAACTTTGATTAAAATATATATTAATAGTTATAATAATAGAAAATGGTATGAAATGAATTAACTAGAATCAATTATTTAATCTCATCTCATATTATACAAGCATTTTCTTTAAGGTCGCACGAGATTAGGGTCGTGCCACGGTATAGCCAATGGAATATCCTGTTTTCCTGTGGGCTACCCTTATTGGTCACTATCAGCATGCCAATGTACAGGAAAGAAACACACTATCCTCTTTTCCATGCATCATCATCACTGGGAAGGAAAAAGAAAACTAAAGGTGGACTAATTCCTATAACATTCTAGAATGATAGATCAGTACTTGCACAAGTGAGAAGATTGGCCAATACTATTGTTTGGTTGTGCGTTTGCATCACCAGCAGATAAAGGACTCTCTCTCTCTCTCTCTCTCTCTCTCTCTCTCTCTCTCTCTCTCTCTCTCTGGGTTGAGTAAGGGTGTTAATCGAATTGAGTTATTCAAGCTCGGTTCAGATAGTACTCGGCTTGGGCTCGAATCGTGTTCTAAATAAATTGAGTTTGAATAATTTTTTAGATTTGTTTATATGTAAAATAGTTGAGTAATTCAAGCTCGAATAGTCTTATTATCCAAAAAAGTCAAGTTTGAACAATTTTTTAAGTTTGCTTAAAAAAACGAACTCGATAGACTTAGACTCAAGCTCGTAAAACTCGACTCGATTATCGCCCTAGTTGTGAGTCTCTCGCTTAGTCTGTATTCCTCCTAGAGCCTTTGGGAATATCCACGTAGGCTTAGGATGAATTTACAACCTCTGACGTGCAATAATCAATCTATACTACATATTAAAAAAATTAATTTAGGGAAGAGAGAGTTTGATAAATTTGTCTTCCTTAAATTTTATTTCCTTTTAATTTTGAATTATTTAATTAATTTTTTTGCAAAAAAAATTGTCAATTTAACATATTGTCAATAATTTTCTAATTATGTTAAGATGGAGTTGATATATGAATAGTGGTGGAGTATACCGGTAACCGCAACGACAAAAAAATATTATAAATTATGTACATCACAATGCGACTGCTTAGTGCTTACTAAGATTATCAAATGACACGAGAAACCACTAAAAGCTGGACTTAAAAACCATTTCAACCTCATTAGAATGATGGATTAGATGTGTGGGTGCAGAATGTGGTGGCTGCTTGTATTCATTTTTCTTACTCTGTTGGCATGACTTGGTGAATTAAGGTGGAGCCATGCAACATGTTTGGGATCGATTGGAGTTTCTCTATGGGGGCGGGGTATGGCAATTAGGATTTGGAGGTGGGTGCAGCGCCGGCCCAAGGCATAGGCCATTAAAGCCACGACCTAGGGCCCCAATTTAATACATATATTTGAAGGCAAAAAAAAATAGAATCACTTAAAAATAAGGCTTCTAATTTTAAGGCAATTTTAGGTATGAAATGCGAATCTAATGAAAAATCGATAGAAAAATAATAAATATTAGTTTTTCTTAGAAGATACTGGTGATAAACAAATAAAATTGTTAAGTTTCTCAAATAAATATGTCAACATAAATTTTACTAAACACGAAACAAATCTGATGATACAAAAGTTGAATTTATACACCATCGGTCAAGTAATTAATGATTAATGCGGTAATTAAGTAAAGAGAGTAAGCACAAGCACGACAAAGATGTAGAGTGGTTCAGTCAACATGACCTACGTCTACTTTAAAGGGTTAAAATGACCTAGTATTTTATTATTTTGAGGAGTGTAGGAAGAGCAGGGAGATACAAGCTATGAGAGAGAGGGGAGAGTGATAGCAGATATGCTTAATTGAGTGTAATGCCCCCCAAGTATTGGTAGAGCTTATAATTTATAGACGTCTCCTAACAGATTGATGCGGCTTATCAGTAACTAAGTAGCTAATCTGGTCGAGTTGGCACTATCTTCTCAACGGACGAGGCAATTACAGAACTCCCCTTGAGATCAGATCCAAAGATGACGTGATGGTTGACTTTTTCCAAGGTGAAGTGGATGAGACTCTTAGAATGACCCTGCTTACTCTCTTAATGATATGGCTCCTCAAACCCTAGTGAGCTTGACTAGGCGTGGATTTATTTTGGGCTGAACACATTGGATCTTGTCAAGTTGAATTTTTTATTCAGTTTAGACTTATAACATAAGTTGAGCTTTTGAGCCTGACCCATCAAAATCTGTTAAATAGGACTTATATATAGTACAAATTTGATTATAAAAGATTATAAGTGAAACAGTTATACATTAAGTTAATTTTAGTACCATACATATTAATGTTTTTTTATTATCTTTGTTTTTTCCAATTTACCTATGTTTTATGTAAATACTGAAAATATGAATTATCTCAAGACAATATCTTTCGTGAGACTTTTGTCATAATCTGTCTTTTTGAAAATTCAAAACAATGTTCGGATAAGTTTTTTTAATTTTAAGACTCCTTGAAAAAATATTCTAGAGGATCTTAAAAAAGATTCTTATTTAAACCTTCTTCAAGGAACATCTATATAATAAAACACATAAGAGTTGAAAGTTTATCTCATATACATTTTTTCCCCTAAAAAAATCACATCATCTAATTTCATCATATGTTCAATCATTTAGCATTTGATTAATTTGTAATATAACACAATTTCTATTTTATACATTGTCTATATACGATAATGTATACGTGTTGAACAAAATTTGTCGAGCTATACATTTTGAGAAAATTTTGACGTTATTTTTAAAAAAAATAATAGGTAAAAATTAATTTTAAATGATATAATGATAGAAACGAAGAAATAAAAATTATTATTTGGTATAATGAGATCAATTTTTTAAACATTCGAACCTTATATTTTATTGTACTTTCAGGCACGAGCTATGATTAGTTCTATAATATACCAACAATATAAAGATAAGTATAAGATAGGCTTAAAATATTTTTATACATATTAAAAGACTACATATTTGCACAAAACATTCTACAGATACCAGAAATGTTTAATATTTTGTAATATCATAATTATTCATTGTAAGACAAAAGGATTATAAATAGGTGGTTTCCATTTGCAAGAACCAAGCAACTAAATCT